TGTTCTCAAAATGCATGACCTACCAAAAGTGATAATGTTTATATGTACATCTTCTCATGTTTGTGAATAAATAGTGAAGTTAATTTTTTTTTTTTTTTTTTTAAATTCTTAAGGTAATGGGCTTCCTCTCCAATGGAATCTTATCTCCACAAACATTTATCGTGCCATCTTGATGTATCGGAGAGTTCAGATCCTCTGCCATGCACGGAATGATCGATATTATAGTATGTGTAACAACTTATTTCGAGAGTCAAAGCATTAATCAAAGGCTCGATTGAATACGCTGAGGCCCAAAATAAATTGTTGACAACAAGTGAATTATTTTAAATCTTGATATAATCGAGTTGAATTCTTGAAATTCTCGATTTAATGTGTTATTCGTATCTAGAACATACCACATGATCAGTGTAATTGTTGACCAAGAATACGAGGCTTAGACCCTTCAATCTTGTGGACTTTTGTAGCTGTACAGATAGATTTGCACCAAGAACAGAGTACATTGGGTCCTCCAAAACCCAAATTTTTTAGCGTATGCCTACGTGCTTAAGGTCACATAATTGACCAAATTGAATATATATGTGTGTGTGTGTGTATATACATATATGTATATTTATGAACAGACCTAATGGAAGAAAATTTCGTCCCTTGTTGAGATCAAATGATTTGACACCACTGTAAGATGTGCATGAATAGTACAGCCTCACGCGGTGACCAATTTTATAGTGTGTCGACAGTATTCTGATTTACCTCAAAAGTCTTTTGCTCGACGTGCATGCTAAGCCAACAGAAACAATGTATCTATTGACACATAGAAGTTGACATTTATATCCATTAACATTTAAATTTTTGTGTGTGTGTGTGTGTGTGGAGAAACTGAGATCTCATTGAAGGAAGCAACCCGAATTGAAAAAAAAAAAAAAAAAAAAAAAAAATTTAAAAAATTATACAAAAACCTACTTAATTGATGGTCTTTTATAACAGTTTTCTGAATACTTTTAAGAATTATTTTTTTGAATTCTTAAGAACTTTTGTGATTGACAAACTAAGTAGACTCTAATTTTCTGATAATTTTGTTCAACAGGATATATAAAAGGGTAACAAACTTTTTTTAATGATGAATCAGCCCATTGCCAATAGTGCATTTGGAAGCAAGTTCAAAAAAGAGATGCTTGTCAATTCATGCCAATTACTTGGAAGCAACCTCAAGAGATAATTGTCAATTCCACGCCTAAAATTGACTCTCTATTGCAAATATCCATGTTTGGATGTATGAAAAAGAAGATAATTGTAATGTAGAAAGCCAATCAGCGTCTTTTTAATTTATTAGTTGTCATCAAAACTTGATGAGATGAATCTTTTACAGAAAACAGCATAATTTTCAATGCATTAGGTGTAGGAAATTACATTATCAAAGCGGAATTACCCCACCAATGGGTAAATTAGCCCAATGGTATAACCCCTCCTCTCCCAAAAATGGGGTTCGATCTCCAATTCTCCCGCTTCCATGCTGATTCTTTACCTAGTCCCGTCAAGTCATTCCAAGTCATGAGCGAGTCTGCAGTTCACTATATCGCCCCCAACTCAGACTCGTTAGAGGAGTCGAGCCTGCACCATGGCTTAGTCTTAAGTGATGTCTTCCCTTCTTCAAATAAAAAGACCGAGGGTTTGAATTTCCAATGTAACAAATGTGTCTATGAGAGATTTACCTACAAACAAACAAGCAAGAAAATTTTAATTAAGAAAGAAAGAAAAAGAAATATTTTACAGTATAATTTTAATTTCCTTCCTTGACTAGTAGCAACACACAGCCAAAATGTTGTCCCGAAAAACTCCTATCGTATGTACCTCCGTCATAAAATTGACAAGTAACTGTTCATATATGTGGAATCAAAGTTCTGGATGATGCATAGAATACTAAATTGGCAGGATTGGAGCTGTCTATTATTTGAAAATTTCCAAGGCTGCTAGACAAACACAACAATGATACGCCTAGATTTGTATTGTCAGTTCATACATCAACCAAATATCAATACACGCCAATGCGGGGGACCAACTTCAGCTTTCATTTCTATAATCCTATCAAAAATAAATAAATAAATAAGAGCTTTGAGTTTATAATGATGTGGATATATATTGGTTTTTGATATTATGTAAGTTGATAAGGTTTAAGGTTCTATGGTGAGTACTTATAAGGTGGTCACAGTATAACAAATATATAAATATTATATATACATAAATGCATATACATCCAACTTATTCAATTGCAACCCAAGAAAAATTCAAGCTAACCACATCTTGGTCTTCAAGCAAAGGACCTATCTTGGTCAATAATCTAAGCACAATAATGTTTTTATTCACACCGCTGATGCAAATTGCCTCATTATATTACCATGCAAGGACAAAAACAAGGCTGTCTATGTCAATTAATCTCCCTAATATTGCAAAACACAAGACTTAGAAAAATAAAAGTCACGATCACACCAAATGATATGAAATATATTCTAGGATAATTTCAAATTAGTATATCGTTTTGTCCTCTCTATACAAACATGAATTGAAGTAAAAGCAAAGTTTTCTGTATTAGACAACAAAAGGGACCCAACAGATTGACATTGAACCAGTCAGAAGTTTTATCTATTCGAAGATGCTGGATGACACAATAGTAAAGTTTGTGCATATTATAGCCTAGTGTGGGTTGAGTACTCATCTATTCAAGTGATACTGTCATTGTGGGCCAAATCATATATATGGTTTGAGTTTTCTTGATGTGGATGTACAAATTACAATATACGGTTGCCTTTGCGTAAAATTATTGATGGAAACACACATTCAAGATTATGCGTGTATATGGGTAGGTAATCTGCATTAATAAATGGTACCTGTCATTTTAATTGACAACCACACATTACTTTCATATGAGTCCCTTTTGACATAATGTCCCGATTCATCGCTAACAAATTGTTTTAATGAAGGTTGAACAACTTTAGACATTTTTTTTTTTTTTCCCCTTTGACTCTCTTTCATTTTCTCTTTATTTATTTACCTTTTTTCAAGTTAAAAAGCTTCAACCACCTCTATCGTGACTAAGAAGTAAGAGAACTAGTAGTTGTGAAAGAAATGAGGACATACCTTATTATTGTTAAGGCCCCAGAAAATATGGTCCTATCAGCCCAGGAAGTATTGGCTCAGTGCCATTGAAAAGTGACCCGCATCACCCGAACTTTATTGATCCAAGTCGAGTCGGAGCCCAAACCAGAATGCACCTATGAAAACTTGGCTTCCTACCTTGCGGCCCATGATGTCTGATGCTTGAGTGTAAGGACTCCTTTGGAGCAGATCAGAGTAAATTTAAACCATATAGAATATTAGTAAACAGCAAGATATTTCAAAGAACAAGAGCCCTCAAAGGATTCAGCAAATCAATAAAACTCAAAATCATCTAATTAATACTGTAGATAACAATTGGGGAATAATCTTCTACCTGGGTAGGACAGGCCAACATCTGATCCACATGAAGAAAAATGTAAAATTGATTGTTAAATTTGGAGGAACCAAAGTTAATAAGCTAGCACTGGTCTACCTTTGTTCTAGTGGCATTGCATCTAAACTTCCAATCCACAGATCAAGGTTTCTAGACTGACTGTTAGAAGAAAGGACCAAAAAAAAAAAAAAACAGAAAAAGAAAGTTAATTAGCTAGCTCACTCACCTTTTATCTTGCCTTACATCCGGTACACCTTATACGGAGAGAGTCAGAAGCTTGCCATCGAATCTGTTGACCTATGGCAAGGAACAAACACTCGATCACATCATTTGAGCAAACATAGTACATTTGTAAAATCAGAATTACATTCGTACACCTTCAGGGTGATCAGATATCCTCACCATCATAAACAGAAACATCCACATCATAAGCAGATTGGAGCCTTAATAGTGTATATTTGCATTACATTACATGCAATTCGCACACTGCACAAATGCAGTACACACAATTGCATACATGCAATGAGAAAGACTCATTTCCAATTGCTTGGAGAATGAAATCTGCTCGTTTATAAGTAGCATAAAATTGCAATGGGATCGTTCAATTTGATAGTTTTATTGCCTGGAATTGTCTAACGACTATGAACTCACACTCAATCAATGGAAAAATGGATTAACCATCATTAGCCAAGAGGTCTCAACAATTACTATATAGTAACAGAAAAATTAGCCGATAAGATATAGTAGTATGAATTTTTTTTTTTTTTGAAAGGTGGTATGGTGTTTTTAGTATTTCCTTAAACCATTACCAAGAAATATCTAAGACTAAGAGATTGAACTGGATCTTAATCAATAGAAACAAGGACTGTCTATCATTAGCCTAGAGGTCTCACTGGCTGACAAATTCACCAAGGAAATATACTATTGAAGTAACTCCTTGAGCCAAAAAAGAAGGCTTATAATTTCGGCATGAGAAAAAAATAATAAAAAAAAAAATTAAAAATCGAACTCTTTGATACAGAGCTTGACCTTCCAGGGAACAATATTAGGTGAAAATGAGATTCACTGAACAAATATGATAGAAATGGTTTGAATTACCTGAAAAATGAAATCCCTCTAGAGCAACAGTTGAAGGACCGATGACTTTTGATACTCTGTTATCACAAGGACTTTTAACATCAAATCACTATTTCATCATCCCAAACATGAAATTAGAAGCGAACATTTTGTGAGAAAAATAAATATTTATTTACTATTTGATCAGAGAAAACCAAGAAAATTTTAAACGATTTATAACACAACCCAATAGGTTTAAGGAGTCAAAAGTTATTTCTCTTTCTCCAGATTAACCAACATACACTAAGCCAATGAACAGGATTTTGTCCATCATCTGCAATTCCCATGACCTCAGGGTGCCATTAGTTAATAATGTTCTCGGTGCATGTAAAATTGAAAAAACAGATACAAATTTCTCTGATACAAGAGGAAATCCAAAAAGGAATGCAGTTACAAGGAAAGCTGCTGTGTAAATCGAATCATCAACTGTAAATGGAAGAAAATAAATTTTAAAACAAGTTTACAGAGGGTATGACCCCAAGATCAATACAAAAATGATGAATATGACCCGAAAAGTAACGGATATAAATTGAATCAAGAAGACATAAAGAATCCAATTTTACATGAATGCAAGCTATAATATTGATTCCGCACTAGATGCTACTTTCAGTATCTATGTTACTGATTTTGTTTACAGAAAGAATCCTTGAAACTATACCAAATAATATATGCCAAAAAGGAGTGCACACGCAATGGTAGATGGAACTCAGCAAGATATGTCATTTGAACCATAGCTAATTGCTCGTAAGTTTGAATCCGACATATTTGTCATCCATAGACGAGGGCCTTTAGATTCCCCCAATATATTATAAGCATAGGAAGGCCACCTTACATCCATGGCACATGGTCTTGAACCACCCATGCTGATAATCTTTTGTGTTCTCTCAAGGACTATAAGGCTTGAAAATGTTGAAAAGCTGTTCCCCACAAACACATCAGCCCTTGAGCAAACTTCATAGTCAATAGCTGATTGAATGAGATATGGGTGCTTCTTGTAAATTCCAACAACACCCAATTTCTTCTTCTCAAAAGGAACTAAACCCTCCTTCCATCCATTCAAGATAGAGTTATCTTCAAGAAGAGTATCAGCAACGGCAAGGTAAACAACCATTGGGGTCTCTAGGCCCACGATGTTCCCCACTCTCTCCATAATCTCTTCCTTGCTGCTACAAATTTCGCTGACCTTTGATCTTTGCTCTAGCTTCTTACAGTGAATCATCCAGTCTTTTTCAATCCTCATGTGAACAGCTACATAAGGCACTGGTTGGAGCAAAGCCGTCCCTGAAACAACACCATCTTGTGAAGACCCAATTTTGCTTCTCATCTCTCTTCCTATCTCTCTAATTTTCGAGACAACTCTATCTGCTTCTTTTGAAATTTCATCCACCAAAACTAAACACTCGAAGACCTTCGCGTAGTCCTTAACAGGCCAGTGGTCGTGCCACAGAAATGGGTTCTTTCCTACTACTCGAATTGTCTCATACCCATCATACGGATCATTGCCAAACTGTCTCAATTGATCTAAATCTCTCTCAACCGTCCACTTCCTTCCACTTCCCTTTTGCAGCTCAAGAACATCAGTTCGATTTACAATATCTGAATAACGAGACAGTTGGATGAAACCATTACAAAGCGAATTAAACCTTTCGAATTGGAAGACCTTATCGAATGGAATGGGTTGCAAGAGATCAATTTCTTTGTAAAACAGTGAAGCACTCAAGCTAGGCATCAAAAGAGTTCGATTCAGCATTCTTGCAGTTAAGCAAGCTCTCGCAAAAGCAATCTTCTGATTGTTTAAACCCCATACAATTTGTGGAACCTCCAAGAACTTGAATCTCCGAACTCCAAATTCCGAATTTAAAGAAAAAGAAAGGTTGTGTATTACTAAAAGGTCACTCTGTTCAATGCTCCCAAAGCCAGAGAACGTGGGAAACAAAGCAGCTCTAAGTGCCAGAGCAATGACAACCAAAGCCAGACATTTGCAAGTGAGAGAGTTTAAAGAGAAACCTAAGAATCTCAAGTGCTTGCAACCCCACCAGTCCATTTGAGATTCTTCTATACACATTGACTAAATCATTGCAATCCTACAAAACTACAGCTCTCTCCAATGATCCAATCCAACTTTGCTGTTAAATAAATCACAAGAAACCCATTTCAATACACTAGTCATTTTCACCAGTGGAAAGTACACTTTAAGCCCAACAATTTTTTTTTTTGCTAAAAAAAGGGAAAAATATATATATATATATTAAACATGACCTAGGAATAGAAACAAACACAAGGATTCATATAAACAAGACCATATACTAATTATGTACCTTAATTCAATCGATAATTGATTGAAATAGACAAGACTAATTCAAGCCCTGATACCAAAAATGATCAGGGGAGTGCCAGAAAAACCAATGTGAGACCGGTAATCTGCATATATCAACAAAGAGATCAAAACAGCATAAGAGCCTATCCATTTTCTCACCCAAAATTCATTTAAAAGAAATCATGAATATTTTAGTAGATTCATTGTTTACGATCCAAGAACAAGACGATATATATATATATATAGGGAGGGAGAGATCAATTTTCAAAGCAAATTATGCATGAATATGGATATAACCTTTGAATTCCTGCAAAGACATTGATTAGCAGAATGATTCCAAGACGGTACGAATAAACCCAATTCGGTTTTGATGATAAAAGTATCTGAATTCTGAAGAAAAACCAGATGAGATGATGATGATGATCGGCATGTAAAGGAGTCGAGAAGAGGCAATTTCTCTGAAGTCAAAAGCAAAACCAACACATCACAATCATGACACCAAAGAAAAAAAAAAACAAAAAGAATGTCTGGAAACAGCAAAATCCAAGGTGGAATTAGAAATTCTAAGATAAAAAGAAATTGAAGAGGGGGGGAGAGTGGCAAGAAGGAAATATAATGGGGCCAAACAACATAAGAGAGAGAAAGGAACTAATCGGAGGGAATTGGAAGGGGGAATAAATGGCATGAAGTAAATATGAGGAGCCAAACAGCAGTAAGGAATTCTGGAAGCAGCAAATGGAAAATATATACTATATATTTTCTTTATGAAGATTCGAGAATATAGAAGTAAATAAGTAGAATCTTATGGGTATTGAAATGGAAAAAATTGGGAATGGAAATGAGAAAGCGACGAAAAGGTATGTATAAGGAGCTGTCAGAGACCGACGACGACAAAGAGAGAGTGGTGAGTTGAAATGAAAACCTAAACTGTCTCAACATAAAAGGGCCACCTATTTTGGTTCATCTGACCAACCTGTACCTACGTGGAACCCAGCTAATTTCATGTACATATATATATATATATATATATTATAAGGTTTAGAAATTATATATATATTACTGTATATATTATATATATAAACCCTCACCGGCTGCTTTTCAGTTAAACAATTTATATTGTGTTTAGCTCAAGAGTAAAATGTTATCACTATATTCTTTCCAAATAAATATATTATTTGCTACCCGTATTCAAAATTTAAATCAAATGGCGTGAAAATTAGAGGTAGATCACTTAAAAATCATTTTTCTTTTTTTAATCCTGGTATGAGATAGGAAACATGTGAATGAACTATAAAGAAATTTATTTAATTTAAATTGTCAAAAATATCCTTGTACATTCCTTAGACTTTTCAAACCACTAGGGGGCATGTTTCCCGTTGCAAAATGTTCCGTTATTAAGGAGTAGTTGTGATTATATATTAAATTATTTCATATTTCCAAGTTTCACAAGTTTGAGATTAGTTCTATTATTTTTATATTTCCAAGGTCACACCTGAGAAGTGATATTTGAGTTTGCGTTTGAACTTTTAATTTTCCGAATTGTTTTACCAAAGTTACATAAAGTCGGTTGCATTACATAAAGTGAGATTGAGAGTTAGAGGGCTAGCGACACAAATGTGAGAGAGACACCAATTTTGAAAAATTGTTCAACTTACATTTAACCTACCATTTTTAATTAATTAAAGTAGAGATCTCACTTCCTTATATCAACTTAAAAATCATTTTTCTTTTCTAATTCTTGTATGTGTCTGCTTTTAATCTCCTTCAATCATTGTTCAAGAAATTCAATTGTGCAATGTTACCGTTTGTCAAACCTAAAATAGTTAAAAAAAAAAAGTGAAGAAAAAAAATTAAAAAATCACTGTTAAGAAACTTGAATTGGTTCGATTAGATCTTGACCATCAAGTTGGAGTTAATGTAATTCTAATATTTTGTAGTAGTAAGATTATCTTTTCATTTTCCTTCTTCCAAGGGAATCATAATAAAATATTGATCTATTAATAAAAAATATAGTAGTCAAGGCATGCATGTATTAAGTATAATATTTGCCAAACAAAATTGTATTAAATGTTATACTAACTTTTGTGGTTGTGTTTTAAGACTATTCAATTGCCCAATTGTTGCCCATCACCATTTATTGTTCTTTAAATAGTCCAAAGTTATGAGACATTAATTATGTTAACTAATAGCTTCTTTAAAAGGCACCAACCTTCCTCGGTTTGGAGATTGCCAATATACTATTCCTTTAGGCTCCATTTAAAATATATATATATATTTTTTAGTTTTGGTCATCGTAAAGTATTTATAAAGAAAAAATATTAAAATTTAATAATAATAATTTATTTATCAATTTTCGATAAGTTATTTTAAATGCTTTACTCTATATATTCGACTTCAACCAAACTTTTGCCAAATATTGAAATATATATATATATATTTTTTGAAAAAAATATTTTACATCGAAACAAACGCAGGCTTAAAAAGAAAAAAAAAATTATATTTAGTTTTTTACCTTGTATTCATACATCTAATTCAAAATATATATATATTTTACTTTAAAAATATATATATTTTTTGAAAAAAATATTTTACATCGAAACAAACGAAGGCTTAAAAAGAAAAAAAATAAATAAAATTACATTTAGTTTTTTACCTTGTATTCATACATCTAATTCAAAATAACTTTGGACTTCTAAATATAGTTTTAAGGTCATCTTTTCTTTTTATTTAAGCTCAAATTCTTTGATTTCAAATTCATCCATTTACTCATAAATAAAATACATATAATTTACAGTTGTAATCAGGGGTGAAGCAAGTATATGTCCAGGGGGCACGTGCCCCCTCTGACTTGGTCCCACTTATTATAATACATATACTAAATTTATATATTTTTACATATATATACGAATAAATTCATATAATACCCCCCTCGTTGCATCATTATTATTATTATTTTTTAAAAATAATAATTATCTAGGATAGTCTCTACTTCATTTTATATCCTTTCCGTTGGAGTATAGTTTGCATATATGTGTGTTCTTCAATTTTTCTAACTTTTGCACCAACCCACTTTATTTCTCACAGTTATACTATAATAATTCTACCAACTCTAGCCAAAGTAAGAGTAAACAATTAAAGCGATTTTCAAGGGCTGTTTGTTTGCTAAGAAAATGGTGTTGGAGACAATATAAAGTGGTAAATTTTGCAACTACCAACTTTATTTCTTATAGATGTACTATAATAATCCTCCTTCATAGTATCTACCAATTCGAACTAATTAAAGTAAGAACATGTTTCAAGTCTTCGAAGCAATTTTTTTTTTTAACCTCGAGGTCGAGAACATGTCCTCGACTCTTCCAAAAGCTCTCAGCGGCATTATTTTTAAAGAATCTATTTGTTTAAGAAGAAAATGGTGTCGGAGATAATAGTCTATTTGCTTTGGAATGTGTTTCAAAATTATACTCTATATATATACTTTTATAAAAAAAAATTAACATATATTTTAGTATATTGGCCTTTTATTTTATCACATAAAAATCAAGTTGTTTGGTTGGTGAAATCGAACTGGATTGTTCAAATGGATACATAATCTTAATGTAAGTAAAAAATTAATAGTCTAACAATAATTAATTAATATTTAGTTATTCATATGTTTGAATGAATAGTTATCTATATATATTTAAGAGTTGTGATGCTTTATTTTAATGTAGTAAGAGTTGTTTGCAAAGAGATGTATTTGTTGATGGACAAACGCCTCTCTCAATTTCAACTAATGAGGAACGTTCCCAACCCTCTATAAATATGCAGTAAAATGTCTGAAATCAATAATGCAGTATCACAGCAAAGGTAAATGGTTGAAAAACGTTTTCGCTTTAGTTTTCTCTTCAAACATAATTTCTATATCGTGTATATCATGTTTCTATTTTCTATGAATTTTTCTTACATTTATGCGTTGAATCAAATGTGACTGATGAATTGTTTGGTCAGTTACTTGATAAAGTAATCTGAGACTGTTCAACTTAGTAAGGTGTTTAATTGTTTATAGAGGGCTGGATATACAAATAGTTGAATCTCACTTGGTTGAATTCAAAGATAACACTGTCATTTTTATAGTTCAATTGTAAATTATAAAATATATTTTAATTATCTTCAAGACGCAATTATTATCTCTAAGCCTTGATTTAAAATGATGTGTAATATTTTTATTTGCTTCATTGCAAATATTGCTGTTTATCGCAATCTAAATCCACGCGATGGTCTCCTCTAACAATTGAATATAGGGTTTATTTTGATAATCTGTTCCATCAATTTTAAAGATAGTATTATTATATTTGTTAATTTGTTTTAACAAAGTGAAGATATCACTTCTCTTTTTTTTTTTTTTTTTTAACTTTTCCATTTCTTTTCTTTTACAGATAGTTTTGAAGAAATTTATGAGAATCTTACTTTCCAAAAAATAAAAAAAGTTATCTGAAAAGGTTAAATATATATATATATATATATATATATATATATATATATATAACCAAATCAAGCCTAAAAAACTGTTAAATCTGTCACAAACTTACGTTTCATCCATTATAATATGATGGTACTTCTTTATCTTTTACTAAAGTTAACATTATAATTGGAGCAAAAGTGAATGTGTTACTCTTAACTAGACGGACAAAATATATATGTTGAGAAAGAATTATAATATATACTTACTAAAGATTCTTTATCAAAATAAAAAAATGAAAATCCAATAACAACTGGAAAAGGATTGTAAGTTATATAACAGTGTAAACTTCCCACATTATTCTTTAATCACCTTTTAGGAAATATAAAAGAATAAGAAAAAATAAATAAAGGAATTGTCATTGTCTTTAAGAGCGTGGAAAAAATTGTTAGAAAGGTCAAACTGCATCTCTGTATAGACTTTGTTCGATAAAACGATTCATTTTCAATTCTACAAAATTGAACAACTATTAATTAGGGTAAGGTTGGGTTTGAAATCTAAAAAGACCAACAAAAGTTACAAAACCATTAGTTATAAATATATATTATATAAAATATTTAATTTCTAAAAAATATTTATCATTCACACAAGAATAATAAATAACATGTATTATAAAATTGTATTATGACTTACAGCTTACACAGCTACCCTTTTAACTCTTCCCGCATAGGCCTTGTCATTGTACAAAGTCAAAATCATAAAACCAATCTCAACTTAATTAATTATCTAGGATTCGATTTTTTAATAATAATAATAATAGTTGGTACTTTTAATGCTTGCCTTTAAAATTCTTTGGGCATTTTTTTGGGTATGCCATTACTGGGTGAATTTGGCCCACATGGCTAGAAAAACTCTGGATATAATCCTGTAGTGGTGTGTCCCACTTAAATAACTTACACTTGCAGGGCATTTTCTGGATAAACCTGACAAGACAAATCTTCCGTGACCTGTGCCCCCTATTTTTTTAAAAACTCCACTTATAACGCTCTCTCTTTTTAATGACGTGTCAGGCTTGCCTTTGCAATGCATGCACGCCGTGAAACCTGTGGGGAGCACTGCCATGTCAGAAATTGAATCCCCAACTCCTGACCGCACATTGGACGCATCGATTGAAACGGACGGTTCAGATTGTCTATGGCGCGAGTATCGAGTGTTTCCGTACTCGCACGTGACACAGACCATTCCGCGGTGGATCCGTGGTGTGGATCTGAGCAGCATCTGATCCGACGGCTATTAAGAAATATTTACTTTTTGTTGACTTTCCAAT